AATTTCCTGCTATTTCCACTTTTGGAATTTGTGAACCATGTAATACCGATTATGGATTTTAAACATATCTGAAATTTTCAGTGCGAGCAACTGAAAGTGGCAAGACTAGTTCCTGAAGATACATTAGCCAAAGCGACCGACAGAATAGGCATAGCAAATTAACATTTTATAAAAAAGCATTTTTCTGCTTTTTTGCTCTACATAAACTGCCAAAAGCCATATGACTAACAATAAGAAACTTGATCAGTTATGTAAAAGTTATTTGATTATCTAGATTTGTGTGTTGAGATGATTGCAATTAGCAGAAGAGTACTTCATGCGTGAAAGCGGTTGAGCAGGTGCGAGAAGGTTTGTGTACGTCCCGCTAGCCTGACTTGCAAACCACTTCATAATTCATCAGTAGCACCGCTTTGCGACTGATTGCCACTAAACAACAGACTTACTAACTGATCATGAGATCCAGTGCTGAACGAAATCTTATTAAGACATGGGTTAGGGGTGAATTCTAGCCTCAGTCTACGTTCAAAAATATGCACACAGGATAACGGGATAAAAAAGCAGCTTTCAAGAATCGCTTACTAATTTGTAGCGTAAATCTATCTACATAAAGCGCATGAATGGACTGAGAAGAATTGCTGGACCAAACAGACGAATGCTTCTGTTACAGGGCAATAAAGTGTCACAGCCACCAAACGCTTGTGATGCCAAATATGGTACGACAGGAGTGAGAATCGAATAGCGAGTAAATGGTTGAATGAGTGTAAGATAAATACAGATGCAGATTGGATGGATGAACGAAGAGTATCTAACAGGTTGCTAAACATCACCTAGAGTAAATAGATGTTTAGCGAAGCATCATCATTGAATAAAGATGGGAATAAAATGAGATACAACAGCAAATGCACTCATATGAAACATTGAAGATTGAAGGAAAAGCAACGATGACTGAAAACAAAATTAATTTCCGTTGAAAAATCCAGAAAAGTTCTATGAATGAGAAGAAGTGCATTCTAGCGAAGAAAGTAAATTTGCATTACATCAACTTAGCACGACATTTAGTCAGGACATGCGCATTGCTTTCTTGTAGAGTCTTTGACTACCGTAGGAATACGAACGGTAAATCCCCAGTAATTTTGTTAATATTCTGGCAATTCTTGAGCAAACAGTATTCTGAGATTTTTGTTGGCCATTGAAAAGTAAAAGTAAAAGAAAAGTTTGCGTTTGAAAGGTGAAGTGCTTCCGAACATCAAGACGTGATCATGGCGATAGCGCCCTAATCGGAGAAGGAGTTCAAACATTCAAGCGAAGTCTTGACACTTACGAGTTGAATGAAGACTTAAGTCAGTGAATGACCCGAACTAAATAATGAGGCCTAAGACTGAAACAAGAATCTCCTTCTGGCCATCTAAAGCAGAGTGTTAAGCCATAAAATGTAACATCTTGTCGAACGGTTTCAATTCCAAATGCAGATATCCAAAAGGCTAAATATAGCGTGTGGAGTCAAATAGCGAATAGATGCACTCGATCGCGATGTAATGCACATCCGGCCGTACTAAGTGCTTCGCTTCTATGTTGCTAGCGATTTCCGGACAGGCTGTTGCTGATTTACAGCTGCACTCTCATCGTGTCGCGCCGTTTATGGACCGCTTCGATGAGCTTCAATGAATGCCAGGTGCTGAATTGACGTAATACGGCGAAAGTGTATGAAAATAGGGGAAGCCGTGGTGAGTGGGGGAGGAAGAGGATGCAGGAAACTTTTTTCATCTTTCGAAGCCAGTCGGAATTTTTCTCAGGCCTTACTGTAGCTACAGTACCCCATAGCAGCATAGTGAGAATGTACTTTGCAGGCCCCTAGATGTTTATATTTATACTTATACCTTTACATTGAGGTGCATAAAAAGTAAAAAATAGTTGAGCCAATACATAAAAGCTGAGATGTAACAGTTAGTCACAAAGCAAAAATACAAGTGTAACAAATAAAAAATATTTTTGAATGCGAAAACCTTTGAATCAGCTAGAGATAAATGTAGTTAACACCAACGTTATCAAAACCCTTGATCATAAAACTTTCTTCAATAAAAAATGCACGTCTTAGGCCCAAAATAATGGAGGGTAGAATAAAATGAATAGATATTTCAAAGCACCCAACCCATTGCTCAAATATTCTTTGCTGGCGGCTGATTGGAAAAAATTAGAGAGGGTCAGATTCAATAAATTTCTACGGAAATGTGAACTGGCAACGGAATATCATTTCTGGAGTTGTTGATGCATTACGCTGGATACTAGATATAATATATCTTTGAGCCATTCTCAACTCAATATGTGAGTTTGCACCCTCTGCGCTGCAACTGACGGCACCTTCACTAGTAAGTTCTTCGTAAAACTTTTCTTAACTAAAAACTTAGAAAAGTGTTCTAACAACTAGTACATATCCCAAATCAAAACAGAAAGGAAAGAAAAAGAAATCACTGACGATGAACGGGTCCTAGTCTTACAGCTCGTCAAGTAGCGCGCATCATGTGCAATACGCACGCTAAGTTACGAATGATTTCATGATACCAATGGATACAGTACTGGATGGCAGTGATTGGCTATGCAAATACCGTAAATCGGCTTGCACAGTTCCATTTAGAAAAATCGAATTTTAAAATAGAATTAGCAATTTTCTTCCAGATTATTTTATACTGGATATTGGAAAGATAAAAGAGTAGCTCAAAAGTAGTAGTTCCACCTCGATATTGGAAAACTACCCCAAGCGATGCTGTCTGAAAGTGTTCGGCTGAACCACAGAAGCTTTTCGATAAACACTTTCGCTCCTCGAAGTCAAAGAAGACTAAGATGTGCTTTTTGGGACCTCCTCTGTTTTTCACTACCAACTGTCAACCCGGGATAATTGAAAATCGAGAAAAAATTGATCTATGTTCGTACCACCTGATTGCAAGCCCAAGCCGTACATAGTGAAGACTAGAGGCTTAAATGATTAATGGAGAATAGTCTTTAGCATGAACAGATGTCTCCCCGGAGATTTAAGCGGTGGAAGAAGTAGCGTCCTGCTAAGAATGTTTGAGACTAATTTAGAACTGGGCTTCACACACTTCAAACAGCTGACATGAAACGAGTAGCAAAAAGAAGACACGATGCTAAACTTTTTGGGGAATGCGTGCAAAAGTTCGCACATTTTTGCAGTAAATCTAGCACTCTTCATCTTTTTTGTTGAAGTGTCGAAGATTTGTCTCCATAATTTTGCATTGTAATGCTGTGTACAGAATATTGAGCTTTAGCTATAGAGTTCTCAACTTCAGAAAGCTGATCAGAGCTTGATGAGATGGAAAGATCCGATAAAGTTAAAAGAAATGAATAATTTGGAGTGATAAGGACCAGAAAAAAGTAGTTAAGATGATACTATGTAATTAAAAGTATCCTAGAACCTAAGTAAAGGAGGGTTGATCGGGAGAGGGGGTGGGGAAGAGGAGAAGATAGCAAATGAAGGTTTGGCGTGACTAACAGCCCACTTGTCTAGGATTTGTTGTGAAGCAGTGGCGGACCGAGAATAGGTCGAGAAAGATTTTCAAGTGTTCCACATAGTTATTTAACTAGCAAACAACTTGTTTTTATTATTTATTTATTAGTATAATTAATCTAGCGAGGCGACGGCCATGCCCGTTGTCTCCAAATTTACAGAATGTAGGCTCGCCAAATGGGAGGATCCCAATAATTTTATTTGTAAGTTGTGTTAACGCGAAACCAACTCTATATTCAGAAACAAATCCTCCTCTCCCCCCCCCCTCCTCTCTACCTAACGAAAATTTTCTGAAAGTTTGTGCCACTGGTGTGGAGTAAAAATTATGAAAAGCGGTGCATTCACAAATTCCAGCAAGCACATTTCTTATAACGACGGTAAACCAGTGAGTGTGCAAATGCGTACATTTTGCTGGATTTCACCAAAAAAGGTATAACAAATGTTATTGTGAAACAGAGCTTTTTCTTCGGGATTTTTTATGACGAGTGAAAGAGATACATATGTGCGAGTCATTTGTAACCCCATATGTGAGCGCACACTATGCGCCGCAACCGACGACTCTTCACCAGTAACTCGTCAGTAAAACCTATCTAGCGGAAAAAACTGTGGAGATGCGACTACTTATTACATCCAGTTAACCCAAAAGGGAGAAGAAAACGAGGAGAAATTACAGGTAACTAGTAAGTTCTGGTCATCGAGTCGTGAGGCGTCGCTCGCTCATGGTCTGCAATACTCATGTTAGGTTACAAATTGCTCGACGATGTGTTTAGCTTACCAAAGATATCACGTGAAAGGCGAAAAATCGTGGACATGCTAATATCTCATTTGTACAAACGTTATCTAACAAGTTCTCTGTTACCTAGTCGTTCATTCATTTTTCTTGAAATATTTATTCTTCTTCACGAAATCTTGCACGCAAGCTATGAGCAAAACAAAGTATTTATATATGGAGCAGATGGAAGCAAGCAAGATGCCAAGTTAGGGACTTCTTGCATTCAAATGTTGGTATTTTTGTTCTTTACCATATAGGATTCCATATAAGAAGACTGGGCATGAGAATGGAAAACTCGTGCATTATAGACTAAATACTCTTGTGCTTATTCCGGCTTATTGGTTTAATTCTTGTTGATGTGTTAAAAAAAAAGTCGGGAATTTGCTAAAGTAATCTGATACCGATCATTCTCCTCTGTAGGATTTCTTTGTAACGAGATAAACTTTGCCACCATTACCTCATGGGCAACAGATAGAAGATTACTATTTTATGACTGTGGTGCCTTGGATTTTTCGACCATACGGATGATAAAGAAAGAAAAGTTTTTGTGAAATCCTTTTTGATTTTCTTCCCTGTGCGGAGCCCTTATCAGATGAAACTCACATTAAGATGTATTTGTTTCAAAAACTTTTGAACTCTGCACTGAGAAAATTTCTATGAAATTTGGCCAAACAAGTAGCGATTTTGTTTCTTGCTAAAGAAACTTACGACGAATGCGCAACTCATTAGCAAGGACCCTCCCAAACATGCATCACAACGACGGCAACTGATTGCTAATTAGCTTCGTTTGAGCAGTAGAGCATCCACTGCATATGATGGATCTATAAGAAAAATTTTTGGGGACACTCGCATACTTGTAAATCGTATTTGAAGTTTGATGTAGATACTGTAGCTCCGTTGCCAAATACTGCTCAACCCGGGATGCCCGGCTCGGCTCGTCCTTGTCGAACACCATAGAATTCAACATTCCTTCACTCTCTTCTGTCCTGCAAAAGTGGGTCCGTATCACCACTTTTTGCAAAGTCGTGGATGTGTTTTCTAAGCGAATGTGCAACCGATGGACTTCAGCCCTAAAGGTGGTCAAAAGTTTACTACATAGCGAAAACGGCGCCAAATTTAGTAGCGTAAATAATCAATTTGCCAAGGTCCTAGCCAAGCATCTGAGAAGATTTTCGCACAGAGAAGTAGCTCACGGTGACTATTGCCTTTATGGCGACTAACAAGCCATGACCGATTCAAAAACTTATTCGAACGTTTGTCTTCCTGCAAAAAGTTTCATCCACGCGAAATCACCGATCTCACGTGAAAAAGCTTCTAAACGAGCAGTTGTTTACATTTTATTCGTGGTAGTCGGCATAACGCTGTGAGTTCCAGTGCCACGATATTACGAGAATGAGTAAGGCACATAGATAGTAGAGCCAGTGCGAGCCTCTGCGAAGCAGAGGTGACGCACTAGTTCATCTATAATACAGGGTGTCCCAAAAGTGAGTACACACTTTTTCAGAAACATGGATACACAACTTTCCACATTTTTCAAAACTTTTAAACTGCGTATTCCCAATGGCGCTGTATGCTGGAACTTTATACCGCAATCCACAGTTATAAAGAGCGATGGGTGATTTGCTCCAAATTGCAAATCTAAGTTCAAGCCTGCTCTACTGATTGGTACTTGAAGCAAGCAAACGACTATGTGAGAAGACAATACTAACAATCAAAAAGTGTGTGCTTACTTTTAGGAAACCCTGGGGTAGTAATCTACCCTACCTGGTGGCATCAAAGATGCCGGCAAGTTGGCACACATCGCGGAAAGATGCCAACTCCGCCGGCAGCTCGCGGAGTGATTGTTGGTTTTAATAGTCTTATCCTTAGCACGCAATCATTTCGCACATTAAATTTTGATGACGCAGACAGCCGCAAAATTGCTACCTCGCGCGCGGTCGAACCCATGTGCGATAATTTGAAGTGCAACCACGTTAACCATTCGACCATTCGGTCAACCATTGCCGTTTGCACCAGCAATAGGAGGAACGCGCTGGTAAATGGCTGCCTGTAAGAGGGGTCGATACACTGCGTGAAAGACTTTGATCTGAAAGAACAGCTGATTGATATGAGCGAGAGAGGGGCAAAATCGGTGCAAACGAGATTTATAAGAAATTGCCAAAAAAGATGATGTTCTTTATGATTCTAATAGAAATAGAAATAGAAATAGAGATAGTTATATACAAAATGTGGTGCCATAATTTGTTTAACATGGAAATCAATTTTGCAGTGAACTAATTTAACTCCGTTTCGTTCCTGTCCTTAGACGGAGTAAAAGAGCTCAGAACTCTCCCCGGAACTCATCAGTAAGGAAGGAGAGTTCATGAGTCTTGTGTATTGAATGTTGTTAAAATATATGAAGTTTAACAACTTACAATTTTTATACTCAGTCTTACATATATATAATAATATATGATATATTATATATATCGATCATATACTATAAACTATAGTAGTGACCATATTGGTAGACTAGAGGATAAAATGAAACATGTTAGTGTTTTTGTAGTTGATTTTATTTATTACTAGCTGATTTTCCCGGTCCAGCCCGGATCAAGTCAGCTGGTCCCTGCTCCAGCCCCTCCTCACCTCCCCCCTTCCCCCCCCCCCTTCCCACCTGGCCGTTATGCTGCGCTGCAAGGGTTTCCTTTATCAGAGTAACTCACCCGCTGCAGGCTTGTCTTGGATTACCGCATCCTTCCTACCGCGAAAACCGAATGAACTCTGCTCTATTGTTTACACCAAATCATGGAATTGACTTGTTAGCCGACGTTGAGAACTCATTCTTATGCCAAAAATCAATAAATCAATAGAAGGACCCTGCGAATCGCCGCAAAAAATAGCCATAAACCACCTCCGGGGTCAAATGCATATGTGTGCAAAGTTTTAGCTCAACCGGTTCAATGACTGGCGTTTCTATAACGAACGAACAACTAAACGAACATCCTCACAGACATTGAGTTTTATATATATATAGATGATGTTAGTCATTTTGATAGACTACTTTACTAAATTGGTTGTTTGTAGTAGATGTGTATTGAAATAACTATACTGATTGATGATATGTGCTATTGATTAGGATTATGAAAGAGCTTAATTGAAGGCTGGTATAAGACATATATTACATCAATTAACTATATATTGTGTAAATTTTGATGTAGAATGTGTAATAATTTTTTAATTTTATCGTAATTGTAAAATTCGTATTTATATAGTATAAAATTATTCTTATGTAAGCGTTTGAAAATATTTGTATAAATCATGTTTTCATTGTATCCATTGGAAATAAGTAAGTTTCGTAACTGTAGTATTTTTTTGACAAAATCGTCAAGATAAGTGCAAGTACGGGCAACTCTTAAAGTTTCTGTGTAAACAATTGCGTTTTTGATTTGATTGGATACACCAGAAGTGATGTGTATAAATCTTCTTACTTGAAAAGGGAAACTATCAGTTTTGTTATACATTTTAGTTGTGATTCTGTTATAAATGATTGTAATATGTAAGTTTAAATAATTACAATGTAAATTATCTATATGAATAGTTTCCAAACTTAGTTTGTTATCATATACGTTTTTGATTATATTATGAATTGTAGGTTCAGTGCGGTTGTGTATGATTAATAGATCATCCATATAACGAAATGCAAAAAGTTGTTTATTGTTATTTACTTTATTAACTATATACTTGTATTCATACCAAGATAGTGTCAGGTCTGCTAACAATGGACTAAAATTACCGCCTTGTGGTACCCCTATTTTTTGTTCAAAAATGTATGTGCTAAATCTACAGAAACTGCTATCAAGAATATAATCAACTAGCTGGCTTACCCGGCTCCGCCGTATGTTCCGAATAGAAAATTCCATTTTTTAACCGATCCGGACCAAACTTGGCACACATACCCTTCGGGCCCCGGCGGTGTCACAGTCCACTTTTCGTTATCGATCGATAAAAGTAATGCACGATTTTAAAAACTAATATTGTATTCGGAATCCCCATGCTCACTTACCCCCCTGTGCCAACTCCCAGCCCCGTAGCTCAAATTTTTGCAAAAAATCGATAAAATCGATATCGATCGATATGAAAAGTAGCCTATGACACCCGCCGGGGCCCGAAGTGTATGTGTGCCAAGTTTGGTCCCGATCGGTTCAAAAATGGAATTTTCTATTCGGAACATACGTACTAGGCTGTTGCATAAGTTCTGTCCGATTTTTTTGCCTCATGTTTGAAGCAGCTGTTCTAAGAGAATTTCATCTCTAATTCGATACGGTTGGTATCATTGAAAAGTGCTTTTCTTGCGCTTTCTAAAGCATACCAGAATTCAATAAAATTCTTAGTGTACGGAGATCACAGGCCTAAAATCTCTAAGTGGCCGAGGTACGTTCTATCCCTAGAAATATGTCCTTGCGAGGATATCTCCACAATGCGCCCTTCAAGTCAGGTTCTTTCATTGGCTTCGGAATAAGGGTATGGAATGCTAGTATATGCAGAAGTTCGGTCCCATGAAGAATACGTCTTGCTAGTGAAATTTATCCTCGAACATAAATCTTTGGTATAGATGTTTTACAAGCAATAACTTTCTGCGAATAGAAGTAATCGACAAGCTCAAAGTTGGAGGTGCTAGGGCAAAGCAAGAGCTAACAGGGCCCATCCACCAATTCCTTTTCGGCGCTCACGTCAGTTGTAAAACGTTCGTAGTTCATAAATAGGCATGCACACATGTGCTGAAGCGAGGTCAAAAAGTGGCTAATTTTTTGTTCGGTCAAGAAAATCTCTCGGCAGCGCAAACCCTATGGGCTCTTTTATGTTGCATAATAATCTACGAAAATTTCTCTATCCATCCATTATTAGAAAAGATGCCTATCAATTTTCATAAGGGAGCGTTACCATGTCAAAAAAGACAGATTCGAAGAAAAACGCTGCGAAGTTTTTGCATTCTTGGTTCTTCCTTAACAAAGATTTGCGCAGATCTCAATATGCATTTTTTAGCCAAGGGACTGCTCAACACATAGAAACTAAGACCTTGGAAAAAAGTTGACTCTGAAAGAAGTTATGACATTTTAAACTCAAAAATTCAAATCGGACAGAACTTATGCAACAGCCTAGTACAGACAGACAGACATACATACATACAGACAGACAGACAGACATACATACATACAAACAGACATTCAGCTTTATATATAAGATGTAATACAATAAATCTGAAATGGTGTAGTTTCTGTGGCTAGATTTTATGTTTATATTATCGGTCTAAGGCATTACTGGATTTTTTCTCTGTAAGAAAATCGTCGTTTTGAAAAAGAAAAACTCATATAATGAAAAAAATGATACTTTTTTGATGAAAAGGAGAATTTTTGATTTTTCGCCTGACGTAAATTGTGTGATATCGCCGCAATTCGCAAACTCGCAGACGCCGTCTGCAAAGGTGCCACCACCTCGACGTGGTAGGGGCACGTCGAGATGCCGGCAGCTGCCTCTCTCAAAAGAGCACGCTATTTCCCGTGCTCTCTGACCTGCCGGCAGCTGCCAGCGGATTTCGACGAGCTGCCGGCAGGTTGCCGGCAACTTACATCGCGAAGTTGCCGGCAGCTCCTTCTGCGCTTCCAGATATTTTCCCACAGGAGGATTTCTAGAACCGCAGATTTCGAGTTTTTTACAGAGTCTAGGCGGCATCTTTATAGAGAAAATTTTTTGGAAATAGGCCTGGGACCGCCTAAATTTGGGATTTCACTTTCTGGCCACCTCACGGAAAAGGTGCCAGCGACCTGCCGACGAGACGTGCCGCCAGGTCCGGGGGATTACTACCGGCCCCTGTCTTTCATTGATGAAATGTCGCAAAGATGTGTTGACGATCCAAATCGACAGCTTCAAGAACAAACAAATAAAGTCTCGAAATGATGTCATAATCGTAAAATCTCACACGCGCGCACTGTGATTTATCGAAAACTACACAATCCCATAAATTTATCCTTCAGCATTGAGGACTTCAAGTCTCCGCACATATTTACCACCTTATCGTTGATTGGCGTTGCTCCTACGGGTCCTTCTGATGATTATACAAAACACCAAAACATTACAGCTAAAAAATAGTACGCTGGTGTCTAATATGTTTATAACAATCAAGGTGAGTTATAAGGGCTAACAACAGTGAGAAACTTAGGTCTTTTAGAGTAAAACGGGAGATCTCACTCTTAACATGAATACGCGCCAGGAAGCCAAGGGATACAGAAAACAGAGCGCAGCTTCTGCAGAAGATGGATCATTGCCGTGTCCTCACTGCCTTGCATCCCCATCTTTATTCTCAAAATGGCTACGTGGGAATCCATACTCCTTTGCGCTACGCGCTACCGTTTTGCTCAATACCCCTGTACAAGAGACTGCGTTCAGGCGCTGTTAGAGGAACGTGTTCATACGCCACTAGAGGGACCGAATACCCATTCAATTGTATCGGCATTGCCCTAGATACCTCAAAGAAATCGTTAGAGCACATGGAATAGAAAAAGATACCAATACTGCTAAGGGAAGAGCTGCAATACACCGTGCCACCGATGACTCAACCGTTATCTTCAAAAAAGCCTCCAGCGTTTCTCAAAGCCCACCAGTGCCGATCGCAAGCCGCCAAACCGTTGGGAAAAGGCGCCACCTATTGAGCATATTCTTCTACTGCTTATCCGCTGACAGAAGAAACAGTTTTAAGGGCAAGCTTCCCAGCAGTCTCTAAGCGCGATCCGATGCAATCATTAATTGCGGCGTAAAAAGAAAACCAAACGAAGTGAAGTGGTGATTGTTGGGTCTGACTCTCAGTCAATTTGGCACCACGCCAGCGGAAGAAGCGGGCCAAGTAAGAGGAACGGTACAGCAGCAACCAGCGCTATCGGTCAGTTTTGAGGAGACTCTCATCAACAGCGTCGCTTTGATCCTTTTAATTATCCCTGCACAATTCGCACTCTGATATTGGTTTTCATTAAAATTTCAAAAAAATTTTGTAACTCAGCGGCCTTGAACGCAAATGACCACATGATAGTGTCGGCAGCATAAACTCTGTGGAGTGCTAAACGCAACGCCACACGTCCGCTGAACATTTATCAAACGAGCAGCGTTCTACTGGTTTGCTTCCTTAAAGGCAGCGTACACCCAAAATCTAAGTTACCGAATTTCCTAGATCTTTCTATACCGTGTATATACTGGGCCCAGAAGAAGACCAACTGCGTTGGTCCGGTCTCCCAATGTTGCTTCTGAGCGGAGAAAACCCCCTCAATTTTCTTTCACTCCGTCCCTTTTCTTTCACTCCGCCTCCTCCGGACGAATCCACGACAGCGTAAGCTTCAGTTGCCGTTGCAGTTGCTGTTGCAATGCTGTTGCATCCTGCAACTGCAATTGCAACAGTGCAGTGCTTTTTGCGGTGCGCCTCCTTTGGGCGACGAACCACGACAGCATATGCAGCAGTTGCAGTTGCAACTGCAGGCTGTCATGCTGTTGCAGCTGCTGGCATGCCGACGGGGACTAGCAGTTCGAAACTCGTCCGCCCTTGAAAAGAGGGTCCCCGGAAATCGGGGTTTTTTGGGACTTTTGGAGGATTTCAATGACATAACTGTAATCAGCGGCATGGAAAGGCCCCAGAATGACAAAAACATCGAAGGTGAAATTTTGGGTGTACGCTGCCTTTAAGGGCCCGTCCACCCAAAATGGTGTCGGTTTTTGTGTTTATTAGTAGCGAGGCCCGCGACTGCATATACGCCCAACTCGCGCTGCCAAAAGTTGCCCGAAGTGAGCAAATTCCTCCGGAAAGGGGGTTCGTCACGTTGGCTCCTAGCCGAGTGGGCGGTACGTTCGTCACGCTCATTTAGTGATTTCTTCTAGTAATTAGTAGTAGTTCTAGTTCTAGTTCGGTGAGTTCTGGAGAACTCAATGATTTAAATTTTCGTTCAATTTTAGGCCTGGATTCGAACTCAGCATGCGCAAAAAGTGCGAAAAAGGGCGAAAGCTCGAAATTGATCTGGGCGAACGGTGCCTTTGACTCCAATATAAATTTTACTGCCCTGCAAATAGATCTTTGCAGTGATTTTACTTGGCTATGCTCATACTTCGATATCTGCTCCTTATCCAACCCATACTACTAAATCGCTTATTGATTGTCAGTTATAAAGAATCGTCATTCAAAAGCACCTCGTCTTCATAGTTTTTCTGTGCACAAAATATATTTGATTAGAGTATTACATTGCTCTAGGAAAGCCGGTGAAATCTCATGGATAGCTGCTAAATTAAACTTGCAACTCAGATTTGGTGTTTTTGTCCTTTAGCAGCACTTAGTAACACTCTAATATATTTTTTCACCATGCTGTGACAACGTTATCTTGTTGGAGCCTCTTGTCTCTTGAAACATTCCTTGTAAAGATCTCTGCCAGACGTGAAGGGCGGGTGTTTGCGGCCACTGCCCACACAGGATGCTATTCCAAGGCCCTTGGTTGAATAACCCTCGTACATTTCAGAACCGCTTCATGTAATTCTAAGATAACTTCTGGTGGCAGAAAACCGTTTGGCAGAAGAAAGGAAACTAAGAAGGCTCAATGCGCTAGCAATGGCCGCAAACTCACTGACATTCACTATCATGCAGAACCCTATAGGTATTTGCTTTTAAAAAACCGTCACCCTATGTGATCCTGCGCCCTCCCTCTACTAACCATCGATGCGAGTGTGAATGTATCTGAGGAATACAACTTAACTATACATTTTATTGGAAACTCCCAAGTCAAAAGTTTCTAACATAATATGATATGATTGTTGCTTTGTTGCTGATCAGTCTGGAGTTATGAATATCTGAAGAGGAACGATTGAAAAGCAGAGCTTGATCACTTGAAAACTCACCAAATTTTCACATACTAAAGGTGAATTTTAACCTTGAGCACCAGGATTACTATCAACTACTAATGGCATATCTCCTTTCGGGCTTTTATCGATTCCTGTAAAGTTACAATAGTCCTACTTAATAACGAAGTTTATAAGCTTACTTTCTACTCGTGAGTCTCTACTTTCTACACGTCTACCAGCTGTAGCATTAATTGGTTTTCCATCACAAGTAATGTTCGCGGGAGGTTCTACGACCAGTGCAGGACGAGTTGGAGCGGCTGTCTTCTCAAAGAGCGTGTACTCGCGTTCCTAAAACCCTCTGTGCACTGAAAGAACAAAAAATCTTGTAGATCAATGAAGTTGATCTTTATCGTAGAAGCAGTCCGCACCGCTCCCTACAACAGCAAGGATCAATCTTACCATAGCACGCGCTATATCGCAATCCTTCTTAGCTTGAGCAACCCTTTCGCGTTCTTCTTCCAATGCTTTCTCCTCGCCTCCTTCCTTTTCTTCATCATCTTTCTCCACATCCTCGTGTTGTGTAGGTGACTAAATATATCTACTTGATTGTAAAGCGATTATCACAGAACTTACTAAGTTATCAGCAAGGTCTGGCTTCTTTGCAACTGCTGACTTCACAGATTTTATCAAAGTTTTCCTAATTTTCAGTGATGTTGCCATGATGTTTCCTGTAATCATCATTACAATTACTATTCATTCAAGCGAAGTTCGCCCATTATGAATCAGTATGCAAAGTGGTAATCATCTAGATAAAAAGAAGGACTGAGCACAAGATAGAAATTTAAAATCTTTACAAAAACGAGCTCAAACAACAGCAACGTTTAAAAGCCACTTCCAAAGGTAGAATTAGTTCATCAAAACGAATCTAACGATGTGCATATCATTTCGGTTCCCTAGTGCGAGCTGGTATTCTTCCCTTGTGGAACACCATTCGACAAAATGAGAAAGCCCTGCAAGCTAAAGGCAAGACATTCACTAATTCACTGTCCACAAAGTTTGTTTGAGAATTTGGAGCAGACTATCCAACTTTATAACTCGAATTATCTCCAGAGATTTCGCTCATTTTTTGGAAGAAAACCTCATACTCTGTATCAACGTATACAATCAGACTATCACGTAAAAATCGGCACCACTTTATAACTCGAATTATCTCCAGAAATTCGCTCATTTTTTGGAAGAAGACCTCATACTCTGTATCAACGTGCAATGAGTTCTAGAAAAGTTTTTTTGTTATTTCCAATCAATTCAAGAGGACGCTGAGTTTTGTAAAACAGCTAGTATACTATACAGCTATTCAGAAAAATACCGTTATTCCATCAAATCCCAGGGACGAGATCACGATGGCAGACTAGCTGTAGGGTGCCCAAGATTTGAGGCATGTTGTAGTGCAACATTATCGATAGGATATCTCAGAGAAGGTATTTCAACTATGAAAATATGCACAAATTTTCTGTGGGAAAACATACCTCGCACACTCAATTTGGATTCACGACTTGCTTTCCTTTGCTCCTTAATCTCTTTCCTTTGCGATGTGCTTCTGTCTATTTTCTTTTTTCTGTGGGTGCTAGTCGACTTGCTTGTTTTGCGATGGACTTTGCTTTTTGAGTATTTTCTGAAAAATTTTTATTGGAATCGTCCATTTTGCCATCCCCTTCTATATAACACCACTTTTGCTGCATGCAGACCAGAAGCAGTAGAATGGAAAAGAAAACAGAGAAAGGTTCGAGAAGAAATTGCAAGAAAAGTTTTAGCATCCAATGACACGATCCCGGTGCAAAATCGGAAGTGGAGGAACTACATATAACACTCTTCAGTTTCTAAAATGTACAGTGTCACTTACTCTCTTCTTGTCGCACGATGTCTGTGGCCTTTCCGCCTGCTCGACGTGAGGTTCAGAAAACTGGTGCTGCTGTAAGGATGGAGATAAGCGTAAATTATGTTGTTTAGAAAATTCTTTTAGTAAAAATATAGGTACAGCTATGAATTCATGGATGAGTGTTGATCAGTTATATCTATCTTTCTTATGGACAAACTTGTGCAGGAAAAAATAGTCAATCTTTAATCGATGTGGTTTGATCTACATGTCAAGAATGCGGTTCAAAACCCGTTAACAGCATTAGATGAAAACCTGTTCCAGATCTTCATAACCTCCATATGTTGCGCAGAAAGCAAAGTTGGTCTAATGATGCCCTACGTCACATTACCGTGCTGAGTCTTACAGATTCGACTTTACGCTGAGCCTAACTTCTGCGGCAAAAATTCTGCTCACAATTCTAGCGGCAAGCTGCCTTTCCAAAGAATGCATGAGACAAGCCGAGGAACACCACGTCGCAATGATCGGTTCAGTCATGTTCCATACAGTCACTTTAGTAAAGGTTAAGGAGGCCCCCGGAAGCGAACGCATTCGACCCCGACGACTGTGAATAGTGGGTGAGTGTTACCGCCTCAAAAAGTGAACGGTGACAGCTAAAGTGGCTAGTTCATTGGAGGCAACGAATTAAGGCTTCGCCTTTTCGTCTAACTACTATCACTGGGTATAGGCCGTCCGCGCAGGGCGCGGAGAGTGCGCAACGTGTGTATTGCGCGTCACTCCTCTTCCTTTGTGCACTCTCGGTGCCTGTTTTCTCTGCGCCTCCGCCAGTCATGAACTGCCTCGATTGGACGCAACAGCGTTGCTCTCCGAGCACAGCGCAGACGGCCTATACCATTTCGCGTTCTTAAGAGTTGGCACATCTTCTGAAAAGACGGCCAGTTGAAGCCTCTACATGAAACAAAGTGAAGAGGGGCAAAGTCACGAGACATTGGAAATGAATACAAGCTCCTCTACAACGGTTCCAACAGCAACAGAAATGGAGTTAGTGCTGTCTCGGAAACTTTAAGAAGTAACATAGAGTAACATAGCCGAGGTTGAACGCATAAGCGATCGCTTAAAGGCAGCAGCTCGCCAAAACCGAACACCCCGAAGTTTCAATATGGAAGGTTACTTGCACCCCAAACATGAGAAGAGCAGGTCTAAGCGCACAACATGCTGCCCTTGCCTAAAAAACTGCCCCTAAATTCGTTACGCGCAAGCCATTCTAGTACGCGCGGACGAGCTTGCGATTCTCCCTAACCGAGAAGGCATGCTGCAATGTTATAACTGCGCGAGCCCCGCAAGAATCTGCCTCTCTAACCATGTCGGGATCAAAATGGGAGGCCTTGGAAAATGGTGGTTTTTGCCACTTTTGCGCTCTTCAGAATTTTTTCGGAATCAGGCCCTCGAATTACCTCAGGTAAGCAAAAAAACTCAAGTAGAGAATCTGCCAAGCCACTGCCTTTATTTAGCATAAAGGCGGATACTGGAAAACGAGTCCTACGAGTGATCACTGCCTATGCATCACAAGTCGGATGTAAGGATGGAAGAGGACGCGTTTTGGCTTTCGATGACCAAATCAGTTCAATTCCACTGGATGAGACACTCCTGCTAAAAGGAGCCTGAACGGGCAAGGAGCTGTGAAATGTCACGGAGGCCTTGAGTACGGAGCATGCAATGAAAAAGGTGACCGCAATCCGGAACTTGCCTCAGCTATGATTTGGTCTTGGCGAGCATACTACATCAAGAAGAATGACCACTTTATTATACACGATCATGACACGCAAAGACTGGGCGTTGCGTGCGACCAAAACAATTCGTGCATGGGAGAGACAGCAGATGGTAAGAGAAACGAAAAAGCCCTTGATCTAAGAGACGCCGATACATCCCCGATCTTTGCGGGCTATGCATCGCCTACACATATACGATGGCGAAGACGAAAGCAGGTAGACTTCTGGACTGTTCAAAATGTGACCTCAAAAAGGTGAAGGATTGCAAAGTCATCCCCGGTGAGAGCTGTACACCTCGGTATAAACCGTTCTTTCCAACATTACGATTTCGAATAAGTACATCAGAGCCATAGAGACCTGGATATGCAACGTATGGTGAAAGCAACCGTCGACGCAGCAAAGCAAGCACACTAATAATAGCTCTCACAAACTTGCAAGAAAACTCAGAGCAATCCTAGCAAATTTTAGTTATCGGGTACACCATGTGGCAGACACGGTTCTGGGAGTTGATGAGATACGAAACGTAATAAAGGATAAGAGGATTTCACAGGCGATGGCATAACACATTGGAGGACAATTGTCATTCGAACCACAAGCCAAACATGCTGCGAAAGCTTCAGTAAAAAATGCAAGGCAGGTTTACATAAAACAGCTCTACAAAATACTGAATCTAGCAAGAGAGAACGTGATACATATCGAATAGCAAGAAGAAGAGAAGTCTACGAAAGATAGGGAGCACTTCTTCTATATCAAAAACAACCGAAAGATGGAGAACCTACTTTGAAGAAATGACACCACAGCACCATCAACTCCATCCCAGAAACCTTTCTTAGGCCCGTATGCACGTACATCCCCGCGGGGAGGGGAGGGGATCTGAGAGGGGAAGCGTCATATCTCGCTAGTCTATGTATCTTTCTTCTTCTTTCTCTGTCTTGGTTTTGAAGGTTCTCATACACTAATACTTGCGCATAACGGATGCCAGGTTACTGCCATACAAGATTAGATATTCACTATTTCCTCTGATCCCCTGGGGATCCCCAGGGAATCATCTCACATTTTCAAAGTCATTTATCTTCCTGAAAGATCAATGAAAACGCTGCAAAATTGTACTGTGGATATACTACAGCATCGCTAAACATGTTTATGGTAGAAATGAGTGAAATCTCAAGATATTAAAATCTTCGATGAACCGCTGCTCGCGAGCCAGGGATTATCGAAAAAATCAAAATCTTCAGATTCCATTTCTTCTGTCGGAAACATGCTCAGCAGTATCGTAATATATCTTCAGTACAATTTTGCAGTGTTTTCATTGATATCTCAGGAAGATAAATGACTTTGAAAATGTGAGATGATCCCCTAGGGATCTCCAGGGGATCGGAAGAAATAGCGAATATTTAATCTTGTATAACAGTAACCTGGCATCCATTATACGCAGGTATAAGGGTATGAGAACCTTTATAAGCACCATAGAGAAGAAGGAAGAAAGATATTTAGAGCATCGAGATATGGCGCTTCCCCTCTCGGATCCCCTCCCCTCCCCGCGGGGATGTACGTGCATACGGGCCTTAGAAAGACTAATACCAGCAGTCACGAAAAAGGAGGTATGACTAGCCGTAAGAAGAACAAAGAATGTCACGACTGGTAATACAAAGCGAGTTCTGGAAAGCATGTGAAAAATCCGGAGCCACATGGCTAACGAGTCTCTTCAATCAAATCATAAGGAGCAAGAGTATGTCTCGCGACGATACACCAGCACGGCGATCACGATGTGGAAGAACAAAGTAGACATAGCAGACTGCGCATCCTACCAGCCAATCTGACTGATGAGCAACACTCTAAAATTCGAGCGAATAATCAAAACGCGTCTTCGAGATATCATAGAGTTGTTTGTAGATTCGTGAAAGGAGTAAGTGCAACTGACGCAAGCACTCCGCTCGGATAGTGATGAAGAAATATAGAGAGAAGCAGAAGGAATTGCATGCAGCCTTACTGGACCTGGAGAAAGTCTCTGAAAAGTTGCCTCATGAAGTCCTCCGGTGGGCCTCGGGAAGAAAACACAAGGTGCCACAGGAGTACGTCTACATAAAGTTATTTTATAACAACGCTTCAAGTCATGTACAAACAGCTGCAGGGCAATCCAGTTTCAAAAGATAGGCACCAAGGTTCAGTTCTCTCTCCCTTACTCTTCATCACAATGATGAACGCCGTAATAGAACCACTCACGTCTCGGGCAGAGTTCGATTTCATCGTCGCGATTCTTTCAACAAAGCAAACAATCACGAGTCCATTACATGCCAAACATCTTGCTTTTCGGTTGTATAGTTCTCCAACACGCCACTCGTGTCTAACTATCAAACCGATATGCAAGACGGAATGCAATGGACTCGTAACTGTTTCTTGTTGGAAGAATCACGGCGAATCGCGTGGACTCTGCCCGAGGCCTCAGAGCGCGAACCTCCTTGGACACTCCTCTACGTGATGATGTGGTCTTGATAGCAGGTACCATAAAAGAGTTGCAAGACGTTGCAAAACAGGAAAAACAGGTCAAAGTAGTTGTAGGCTGAAGCCCAACGCTAAGAAGACGAAATATATGGAAGTGGACAAACTTCAGAAACTACTTGTATTACTAATAAAGGGTGGAAGAAGACAGCCCATACAGGTACTACCTAGACAGTCACATCTCAGCGGAAGGAGACCTACAAGAGAAGGTCGCAGGCAGAGTGAACACAGAATGACGGAATTAAGAGCCCTACCAGAGTTTTATGCGAGACAAGCGTAAATGCAGTGCAGCTTAAGTCCCAACTGCAGGACCATCCGTCTAGCGGACTCTATGGTAGTGAGTGGTGGCCATGTGCGCGGAGTGAGGAGTGCAAGCTCAGTGTGAGGGAAACGAGGGTGCTACGATAAACATTATGTAGATGTCACACTGAAAGGCCACGCATCTGCAATCATAACTTATAATAACGGGCTAAGGGTGTTTACGTGTTTTTGTGTGTGTGTGTGTGTGTGTGAGTGTGTCTGTTACGAAATTCGTAGAGCAGTTTCCAGCCAACCTTTTGAGCCCAAATTTTGCATAGCGCATGCTACCTTCATAGAAGCCCAATATGCAAAAGCACGAGTAGATTCGTTGAGTGGTTCCCTCAAAAATTGCGCGCCAAACGAATCCACCTGGCTTTTATCCCGCAAAAATGGGTCCGTATCACCAATTTTATAGTGGTGGATGCGTTTGGTAAGCAAATGTGCAAGCGATGGAATTTAGCCCGAAAAGAGGTCAAAAGTTCGCTACATAACGAAAACAGCGCCAAAAAGAATTGGCTGCGTAAATGGTCAATTGCTAAGGTTCTACTCAAGCATTTGAGAAAATTTTTGTACGGAGATGTAGAGCACGGCCACTATTGCCTTTATGGCGAACTACCAAGCCATGAAAAATTTAGAAACCTATTCAAATTTGCGTTTGTCTTTCTGCAAAAATCTTCATCCACACGAAATCACCGATCTCACGTGAAAAAGCTTTCTAAATGAGAAGTTGTTTACATTTTATTCGTGGTAGTCGGCATAGCGCAGTGAGTTTCACTGCCACGATTTTGCGGAATGAGTAAGGCACATAGATAGTAGAGCCAGTGCGAGCCTCTGCGAAGCAGAGGTGGCGCACTGGCTCCACTTGGCTTCTGGCCCGCAAAATTGGGCCTGTTCCACCACTTTTTGCGAAGTTATGAATATGATTAACAAGCTAATGTTCACGCCACAGACTTTGGCTCGAAAAACTGAACTAAAGTTGATCACTTTACGAAAATGGCGCCGAAAAAATTAGTTGCGTGAATTTTCAATTTTCAAAGAATTAACCTGATCATTTGAGAAGATTTTTGCACCAAGATGTAGCTAACAGCGATCATCGTCGTTATGGCGACTACCAGAACATAAAGAGTCCAAAAACCTACTCAAATTTGCATTTATTCCTCTCGGAAAGGTTTCATCCACGCGAAAATACCGATCTTACACAAAAAAGCTGAGAATGTCAGAATGAGTAGTTGTTTTCAATTTATTCGTGATAGCCTGCATAGTGCGGTGAGTTTTAATGTCACTATTCTGCGGGAATGAGTAAGGCATGCAGAAAGTAGGGCCAGTGCGAGCCTCTGCGAAGCAGAGGTGACGCACTGGTAACATTATACGAGCCCAAATGAAAGTAGCTCCAGTTGCTCAGAAATTGCAGGAAATAGTTACGATACTACGGCCATGTGCGCAGGAAAGGAAAAAAGCCACATCACGAGGCTGGCCTTAAAGGCAGTCGGCAGATTCTCAACTTGAAGTTTTTTGAATGAGGTAATTCGAGGCGCTGATTCCGAAAATCCACCTTGAAGAGTGCGAAAATGGCAAAAACCACCATTTCAAAAGGACTCCCTTTTTAAATTTGGACGAGAGGGCAAGTCCCGCCATGGTAAGAGAGGCAAAATCGCTGCGGGACCCTTGCAGTTATAACATTGCGGCATGCCTTACTGACGGGTCAGGGAAATCGTAAGCTCGTCCGAGCGTATTAGAATGGCTTGCGCGTAACGGGTTTAGGGCCAGTTTTCTGAGCAAGGGCAGCATGTTGTGCGCTCGGACCTGCTCCTCATGTTTGGGGTGCAAGCAACCTTCCATGTCAAAATTTTGGGATGTTCGACGAGCTGCTGCCTTTAACGGTAGAGGCACCAGGTGGAAAACTTCAGGTTTGGCCCAGAATGAGAGGATGGGCAGGATCAAGGCAAACCTGCGAAAACTTGGATTAGATGAAGACCTTGCCTCAGATAGGAAATATGAAGTCACCTGACAAGAAAAGCAGATCATGAGCGGAACGAATGCAAGGATTAAAAAAATCGTTACGCAAATGAAGCCTTAGGATAGCGCTAACTGTAAAGTGTGACTCACCAAAGAAGAGCGCTTTTACATTCACACAAAAAAGAAGGTGCGTTGCAAAATTCTTTGACATAGGACGTAGAAAAAGGAACTACCCCGATTTATGCGTGCGAGACGCACTATTTTCTCTAGGCGACCAAAGGACTTATACCATGGTGCGCGTCGCCTGCCCTTACATTCAACGGTTTTGGCGGTTGGAAAGAGGCTTTAAGGCCTAAACAAGGCTAGGGAATGATCAGAGACACGCTCGCGAGAGACTCGCAGACTGCGTCGCGGGCGCGAGCGATCGCCTTTCAGCTGCCAACCCCGTTGATGGATAAAGAATCGTGTCGTACAGCAATCGTATGAAGCAACTCGCAATCAACAAAGCAGAATTTGGGCTTTGTACTTTTGAAAACAGGAGTCTTGTATAGCACATATAAGGCACCTGATTTTTTTTTGGATCGGTAGTGTACATCGAATTGAACAGTCTTAATTGACAAACGAGGTCTTTGTCGCATTTGCGGGATCAGGGCGCTGTCTAGCGTCGCCAAACTCTTTTGCTCGATCTGAATATGAGCTTGACAGCAAAGAGATATCCTTACCCGTGTTCCTTCTGTTTTTCAGACATGTAGAATGAACCGCACGCTTTACTATAATCACTCAGAACTAAAAATAAAACATCGTATCAGCATCTCAACTCGTGTGGTATGACTCATTAAAAAAATGGATGATCATGACAATGTAAAGCAGGGTAGCGATTGTGAAGAGATCTGAAAAAGAAATTAATTTTAAGCAAACCATACCAAGCTTTGACAGTATTCATCAACCTTGAGACCAAGGTGGGATTGTATCTTGAGAGAAACCCAACCTTACTTAATTACTTAGATACTTAGATGGCCCGTCTTCAAGTGGGGTGCGGGCCTCAGCACAAAAGTTTCCATCGATCCCTGTCCCTCGCTTCAGACATCCATGATCTTCTTGCTTGACGTCTGTGGCTGCGTCCGCGAGTTCCAGGTGCAAAAATCGTATCCAGCTGATTTCTCAGCTGGTCCATCCGTTCCACGAACACGTCTGCCCATTTCGTCGGTGGTCTTCCTCGAGGACGTTTGACCTCGCGAGGAATCCACTCAGATGTTCTTAGTGTCCATCTGTCGTCCATTCTTCTCATGATGTGACCGGCTCATCGATGTTTCGCTTTCGCAACGTAATCCGCTGGGTCACGAAGACGGGACAATCTTCTCATATCCGTACTGCGAAGTCCGACTAGATGTTGCTTGCGCCGGCTCATCTCCAGAAGACTGCGCTCAAGCGCTCTGTGGGTGGTCCGTAAAGCTTTCAACGTAGCTACAGTGTCGTCTCATGTCTCAGCTGCGTAACAGAGCGCCGGGAGAACGGTTGAGTCGAACAGGTGGGCACGAAGTTCCGGGTCCGTCAGTTGGTCGGTGGCTTCCTTCAGAGGCCCGAAGGCGGCCCAGGCTGCCCTTCTTCTCTTGTTTAGTTCTCTAAGTCGTTCTCCATGTTCATCGAACGTCCGAGATACACCTAGGAAGACGTCTCCATAATCGGGGTGCCTTCCAATTTCATCTCTGCATCTTCGCAAAAGGCGTTCCTCATGAACTGAGTCTTCTTCCAATTTATTCGCAATCCGAAACCCGTTACGCGCAAGCCATTCTAATACGCTCGGACGAGCTTACGATTTCCCTGACCCGTCAGTAAGGCATGCCGCAATGTTATAACTGCAAGTCTTCTTCCCTACTTCGTTTGGTTCCTTCAGCATCGTCTCTGCTTCACTGATACTGCTCGAGAACAGAACGATGTCATCCGCAAAACGAAGGTTGGACAGGAATCTCCCATCAACTCGCATGCCTCCTTCGTCCCAATCCAGTGATTTCATCACCCACTGCAAGGCCGCGGTGAACAGCTTCGGCGAGATAGTGTCGCCTTGTCGAACCCCCTTTCCAATTGGAATGATCAGGGGACGATGGAATAGCTGCATCGTTGTTGTACATCCCTTGTAGCAGTCGGCTAGTGTCCTCACGTAAGCTGGGTCCACTCCTTGATCGACTAGCGCTGACAGGATGGCGTTGGTTTCGACGCTGTCGAAGGCTTTCTCGTAGTCGACGAAGGTTAGGACGAGAGGCAGTCGGTACTCCCGGCAGACTTCTATGACTCGCGAAACCGTCTGGATGTGGTCCATGCGGCTGAATCCCTTGCGGAATCCAGCTTGTTCTTGAGGTTGAGCTTCATCCAGTGTCCTAGATATGCGAGCGAGGATAATCTTCGTGAAAAGCTTGTACAACGCACTCAGCAGACGACGTTAGAACCTCGTGTAGATGGTGTCCTCCGGCTCGCAGAAGTTCGACGGAAAGATGATCTAATCCTGGCGCCGTGGACGTCTTCATGGTCTGTATCGCAATACGCACTTCAGCAATTAGAATCCCTGGTGGTACTTCTCCAGTGGGAACAACGGGCGTCGGCACGGGTGTTGATGAGCGGAAGAGGTTGGTATAGAAGTTCTTCGCGATAGATTCCATCTTGTATCGGGAAGAAGTCGGAGTCCCGTCCTCGTTCAATAGTGCAGCCAGCGGTACGTGATATTCACAGAGGTCCCTTCGGCACTTTTTAAGACTTCGTCTTCCTTCGGCTGCTTCCAGTATCTTGGCTTGCCTGTACTTCCTGAGATCCTCCTGCAAAACTTCTGCAACTGGCGTTGGCTATCAATCGCTTGAGATGAGTTGCATTCGGATCCTGCCTCAGAAGTCTTCTCTTTCGAGCAATCCCTTGGTGGTCTTCGAAATACGTTCCAAGTTTTCTGAGGAGATGCTGAGGCGCACTCTCCGCAAGCTCGCAATTTTTTCAGAAGCCGGTCGTAGTCGTACGTTGGGTCCTCCTCGATGCCAGTCACAACTTGATATGAGCTCTTCCAGCCTGTTACCGTCATAAACGACTTCTTTCCTTCTCGCGGCGCTGTGACAGACTTTCTTTTCCAGCGTTCGATTGAATCGTTTCTTCGTAATAATCTCCCATCTTTCTCCCCCTCTACATATCTGGGGAAGGAGTCAGAGAAGTGCTGACTTTTTCATCGCAGAAGACGCACTTGATTCCTTTAACGCCAAGGTTTACTTGTCCAATTTTCCGATGAGGGAAATCCTGCAAGACTCTGTCCATTTCGATGATGTCCCTTTCAAGTCTATCCTCCCAGGCTCTCGAAGTCTCTGGTCTGTCGGTCCTGTGGTTAGCAGCAGGTTCCTGAGACAGTCTGTGACGTTCTTTCTCTCGCTGTCTTTCATCACTTGACAGCTTTTCCCTTAGTTTGTTCGCTTGCTCCAACTGCGTTCGACTTGCTCCTTTTCCGCGCAAAGCTTTTCCATGTCTTTTTTGTCGCATTATCTCGCTCTCTAATCGATCAATTGCCTCTTGATGCTGACGCTGCTTCAGCGTCAGCTCCTCTACGCGAAATTTTTCCGATCTCAACTCATGTCGCAAGTCAGATGATTTCTTCTTTTTCCTTTCGTTTTTGTTTAGGAGGGTGCTGACGTCATTTATCAGAGGGGCTGTGGCTGCTCGTTTGAGCTCGAGTTCATCCTGCAGCTTTGACACTTGTATTTTTAATTTTTCAATTGTAGAAATGCTTGGTTTTGCTGGCTTCCTTCGTTCTCTACATGGTAATATTTCTCTGCCCTCTGCTGCTGTCCCCCTGGTCCCTCAATCTTTCAATCGTAAGAAATGTTTGTTTCCATCTCATTTGCTTCTGATTTGTCATCTTCATAGACACCCTCTGTTTTATTGTCATCGGCTTGATCGATGATTGCTATTTCCTCATTTGGAGCCGTCCAGTCCATTGCTCATCATTTTGCTCTAGGCATTTTTCCTCGTCTCGTTCCTTGTTCTCATCTCGATTGCCATCGGCTGCTTCTTCAACTCCAGCACTCCAGTCCACTTGCTTATCTTCGTTTTATTCTTGCATCTTTTCCTTTAGTGCCTTAATTTCTTGTTCGAGTCGCTCCACTTGATCCACCCAGTCAAGCTCTATTTCCTGGATGCGTCCCTTCAATCGTTTACATTGAACAGCAAGTTTTGTTTCCTCGCTCTCATTCACTTGCTTCTCGACTTTGTTCAGATGATCTTCCATCTTGCTTACTTGTTTTCGTGAAGCTCATCAGGCTTTGAACCATTTTGTGCACTGATTCCATTCACATCGTACTCTTGTTCCTTTCCTTTCTCCAGCCGCTGGAATCTCCGTCCTCTATGAGATTAGCTTGTACTTGTCGGTCATAGATCCTGTCCGTGAGGATGTTTCATGTGCCGAGTCCGTATCTTTTCCTTGGTCTGCATCGCACTCCACATCTGTTGGTCACCATAAGTTATTCGTTTATGGATGATTGCAAAAAGTTTGCTTCGCCCGTTAGTGACGTCCACAGTGTTCTCTGCGTCGTCGCTACTTTCTTTTGATTGTGTAGCGATTTCAGAATGGCTTGGAGCTGGGGTTCGAGGAATTCCGCTTGTGTGCTTGCTATTCTCAGGATCGTCTTCAAGAATACTGTTGCTCCGTCGAGTTCAGCGGCGCTGAGTCTGTAACGAAGTCGTGTTAGTGGAGAGAAGGCTAGCCAATTGCAAAACTTTTTTCTTTTTTTCTCACGTTTTATTCTTTTTTTCTTTTTTCTTGTTCTTTTTTCTCTTTGGTTGCAATCGTTATAGCTTCACTTTTGTTGCGCCTTTCTTTCGTAACTTGGTCAGACATGTGCGCAAGGTCCAAAAGCAAAATCTCCAAATGAGTTGATACAGTTCTCGTATCGGTCTAGTCATCAATTTTGCTAGGATGATAACACATCTAAGTCACCAGGTCGAAGTGAGCGCATAGGTTATTCCTAGCATAGGGATGAGTGTGTGTGATTCCTGCAATGAGTACTGTTTTATACCATTGGCAAAATTCGTCAAATAGGTGATAGAAGTCGGGCCACTTGATTTCTGATGGAGCGCTTTCGCTGTTGCTCGTGAGCCACTTGTACAGCATTGTCTCGAAAGTTGCTGTATATTTGAGGATTCCTCCGACTTCAAAGGTTTTAACCATCATTCCATATGAGAACGAACATTTCATGCGGACCATTGCTTGAGTAGGGCTGATTCCATGGATTGACTTAATTCCCTGTGCCGCACGGAGCCGTGAAACTTATTCCTTCGCAGATGATTTCTGCTTTGCTTGACTTAGAGGCAAAACACTTGATTTTTGAGTAGGCTCCCTCTTTGCAGTTATAGCACCCTATTAATTGCGTGTTCTCTACCGTGCATATGTCGTTGTCTACGACAATGATAGTGCGTAGTTCTTCCTGTAGGGTTACAATTTTTCCTGGATACCCGTTTCCCACAGCGAGTTCTGGTATGAGACTTGTACTTTTTATTCGAGCGCACTTGCTTTCCACACATGATCCTAGGTGCCGACAACGCTTACTGTCTACAATTTCAGAACTTGTGTCCCGAGTGAACTAATCCGTGATCTTTTCGCAAGTGAGAAGTAAGTTCTTCCACGAAGCGCGTATCTGGTGGATGGTCGTTTCATCCTGCATTAGCTTGAAACGGGCTTCCTTTTTGAACGGTTTAGCTTGAGTATTTCGAAAACTTGTACTTTACATACTTGACCTTTGTCATCATATTTGTGCACAA